TCCACTCTTCTTATTTCAGCAAACATACTATCATAATCTGCAACCTAAATGCAAATGTATACTTGGTAACCCATGTCATGGTTTCCTTGGGATAGGTCTCTTTGTTCAAGCCATGTACATAATATTTTTTCAGTATTTTATAGCTTTCAAGTCTTTTCCCACACACCTCATTTAATCTTTTAGGTGTAAAAGTGTCAGGACAGAATTTTGAAGTTCTATCTATCATAGTTAAACTTAATAGAGCATGAGTCAGGTGTTCAGTCCTTCACCAATGATGATCCCAATTTTTCTGGATCGCTTCATATTTAGAAGTGTATAGAACATTTAAAATTTTTTTTAAATTAGAAGAAATTATAATTGCTATCTCCATCGACAAAGGTCTTAAAAAAGCTCCTGGAAAATTTAAATACAAATATAAAGAACAATTTTCAGGAATTCTTTAAAGACCTTTCATATGTTTGTTTGGAATTTATGAACAAAAATCAAAGCTAACCCTTTTACTATGCTTCTCTGCAAATCCTGCCAAGTATAAAGAGCACTGCAACAAAAACAGGAATACAACAAAAATTAAAGACGTCTACAACTTCTTAGTCACCTGCCTATTACAAGATTATGTACTATGGAATATACTAAACGTACTAATTAGTTCACATCTAGTTTTGAAAATAGCCCTTCAAAATTAACCTAAAAATATTTTTACTAAAGATAAATGAAAATGTCCTACTTGAAAAGAGACCTGCCTTTACTTTCTTAAAGGAGCCCTGGTGGTATAGTAGTTAAATGCCCAGTTGCTAACCAAGAGGTTCACCAACTGATCTGGGGGAGAAAGAAGTGGGGAGTCCACTTCTTTAAAGATTAAACCAGAACTCAATTCCAACTTATTTCAACTCTATACAACAGAGCAGAACTGTCCCTTTGGGTTTCCAAGATTGTTTAAGTCTTAGAAAACCCCATCTTTCTCATGTGGTACAACTGGTGGGTTTGAACTCCTGCCCTTGCAGTTAGTAATTCTAACATGTAGCCCCACTATGTTACCAAGACTCAGAAATCCTCTGGGGCAGTTCTACTCTGTCTTAGAGAGTTACTATGAATGAGTTGAAATTAATGTGATGGCTATATATACACACACACATATATATACATATTTACTTTATTGAAACCTATTATTATCATTTCTCTCATGATTACATAGTAGTAAGTTAAAACTCATCTAATGGTACCACAAAGAAAGTTCTGAAGTTCTGCTTGTTATAAAGATTACAGCCAAGTACCCTAAGAGTAGGGCTCAAAAAAAAAAATATATATATATATATATTTAAATTTTTTTACTGGTTCTAGGTGAAAGTTTACATAGTAAATCATGGTTTCATTTAATATTTCTGTACAACTTCTCCCATGACATTGGTTATTTTTTTCATAATGTAACAAAACATTTTCACTTATTTTCCTTGTTTAGTTTCCATTCATTTAGCATCCCTGACCCTTATTAGCGAGCATCTCATCTTTGTTTTAGGGTAAATATGGTCAGTTGGTCTCATGTAATTGGTTATTTAGGAGCCCTGGTGGTGTAGTGGTTACACATTAGGCTGCTAACTGCAAGGTTAACAGTTCAAAACTACCAGTTGCTTCATGGAATATAGATGCGGCTTTATATTCCCATAAAAAGTTACAGTCTTACAAACCCATGGATAGTTCTACCCTATTCTATATGATTGCTATGAGTTGGAAATGACTTGATGGCAATTAGACGCACTTGTTTTAAATTGGTTATTTAAGGAAACATAGTATTAATGTGTAATATTATTTTATAATCCAATCAATTGTTTAGATGAAAGGTAGCTATGATGAGTGGCTTTCCTTCCAATTTCCAAGTGTATGTAATAGTCTTGGGGGGTTCTTTTTTCTCTAGTGATCCATTAAGTTTGGACATTTTTAAGAGACTGAGTTTATATTTGTTCTACATTTCCCTCCCTTTCTATTTAGGGGCTTCTATTAGGTCTCCAGTCACAAGATCAGTAGTGTAGCCAGATATCATTGCATTCTTCTGGTCTAAGGCTCAATAAGGCTATGGCTCAGGTGGGCTTTTAGTACTATGTATTAGTTTTTTTTCTTTGAGTCTTTGATTTCCTTCATATTTTCTTCTAAAGAAACGGAGATACATAGCCTCTAGGACCCCAGACACTACGTAACAATGTAGAACATTGTCCTGATGAACTATGTTATGCCAATTGACTGTCATTCCACAGGTTACAGTCCCAAACCTTTAATCCCAGTAAACCGACCCCGTGCCTAAGAAGGAGTTCTACTCTGTCAACACATGAGATTGTCATGAGTCATAGCGACTTGGCAATAATGTTTTTCCTTTTAAAAGAATTTTTGGAATGGAGTTAAAACGAAACCAACTATAGTCAATATCTGATTAGATATGCTAAATAAAGGCATACCTAGCCTAGTTCCAAATAGTGAGTATTCCAGAAACAATTCTGGAATATGGGATATATTTTGTATTAAATCTACTTTGTATTAAATTAGTTCTGCTTAGGTATCAGAACCTTAGTATTATGCCAGATACATACAGCTGGTGGGGATGGTCATGACACTGAAAAAACATGTGTATGTGTGAAGGTGTATGTCATTTTTGGAACTCTAGAAGCCAGTGGCTTCTGAAGCAGAATCAGAACAGACTAAATATCAATATGAGAGACTCATTAATATGAGACTCAGTTTTCATTCTACAGCCAAAAGTAAAAAAGATCAACTAAACCACCAATAAAAATAATAAAGACATCAGAAGAAGAAAAACTAAATATTTTGTCTGGTACTTCTCTAAGCACTGGGGAAAAGAGAAAAGAATGTGACATTTTCTATACACAGGTATTCAAGGGAGTGAAAAATATGGGCCAGAAAGAATATCAGATTATGAAATAGAAAACCTACATTCTAATTCTAGATCTGCTACAAATCAAAGTGAGCTTGGACTAAAATACTCAATAACCCTGGGCCTTAATTTACCTTTTATAAAAATAATAAGTTAAACTACATTACCTCTAAAGCTCTTCTAGGACTAAAATTTCTACACATGTGTGAAACTCATTGAACTTACAGCGTTACTGCAGTGCAGTGAGTTATTTAATGTGGCTCTTCTAACCAGATTCTGTTAACAGCCACCAAATGACCCTTCCTGGTGGTTCTGAGTAAGAGCAAGTGGAGGAAGACATTAGTAGGATTCAGTTGTGAATGACTGTTATACAGGATTCATTGTGATTGCCATCCTGCTGGGTATAACATAAAATATCTCAAGAGGAGGAAGTGGGAAATCTCTGTACCAGCAAGAGAAGAGCCAGGAGTGGATTGTGTCCTTTGGACCTGGAACCTCCTGTAAATGGAATCTCCGTAATCCAAGAGACAGCTTTGACACAGAGGAGTGTCTTTAGGCTGAAGTTTATGCTGGAGTGGCATGCCCTTCGGACATTTATTAGTAGTTCCAAAAGAGCTTTGTAACATTGCACAGAAAGACTAAAGAAAGGCCTGCTTGGGTGTATGACTGAGGCTGTCCTGAGTAACTACATCCTGATCATTTGTAACCTGTTACTCCTTTTTGGGGGATGACAGTTTTAATGGCACTTAATCCACATCACGCAATTCTGTGGTTCAATCATATCAAGAAGTGTACAATCATCACCAAAATCAATTTCGGAACATTTTCTATCCCCAGAACAACCCTCCTTTAAAAAGAGTTGTGTAATCACCTTCAGTTCTAGTGCTCACTCCCCCTCCCACCTTCATTGTTTGCTCCCCAAATCCCCTCACCCTCCACATCTCTCACCCCTACAAACCAATTATCTCTATGCATCCACTCCTGTGCTTCACAAACTGGTAAACCCAAGAGAAACAATAAAAAACAAAGATAAAACAACAGTAATATAAAGATAAACATACAATGAATAAGAAAAAAGGACCATGATCAATTTTTTAAAAGCCAGGGAAGCTTTT